AAAGGACTTGTGTCGCTAAAGTTTCGTCGGAACGAATTTACGGAAAATTAAGTAACGACTGGAGGCGTAACAATACCATATGTTTCCTATCCCTTAGTTACTACATGAAGTTTTCAATTTTCGTGTGCCTAATGAGTATGCTTAGCTCCCAATATAAACGTCAGTCAAAGGAAAAACTAAGTTTATTTTGCCTTAGTTACATACACAACTGGGTCATATGGACTCTTTGGCAAGATAGAGAGCTGTAACTTTTTAAAATGTTATATCAAAATAGACAACAGTTTTTTTCTGCCAGCAAGTTGGGTGATATTCCAAGAATATAACCTGTTTTTGCACTGAATCAAAAGTGATCTACAATTATATAGGTAGCTTTCATGCCCTTAGCAGCCTGCCTTCAATATATAGAATTATCACATTTTTACACATAATTTCAATAACCAGTGTCAGTTATTAGATTTAATACAGTTTAGAATATCTTGACCTGCTAATAGTGGATTCATTCTTACTTTTTTCAAACAAGAGACTATCTAATTTAAAATGCTTTTTTGTACATATTATTCATACCTTCAAGTGTATATAATCATTTAAAACCCATCACCACGAAAAGATTTAGATTTACTAAAATCTCAATTATGTCTACCTTGTGCACTGTGTCATCAGATATTAGATCTAATCTAATCTTAATAATGCAGAACAATGTTATCTATCCCCTTAACTGTAATCAGATATTAGTTCTACTTTAAACTTACTACTGTAGAATATCACAATGTCATATACCTTCTGCAATCTGTCATCAGGTATTAACAGTATTGTAAACTTTTTGTTAATCATGCCATTGTAATTAAAATCCATTGCTTAAATAGGAAAAACAAAAAGTCAGAAAAAATATATACACTGGTCTGGCATGGCCTAGTAGTTTAGGCACTTGACTCACAATATGAGGGTCATAGGTTCGAATTCCTGTCACCAAACATTCTCACCCTTTCTGCCATGGGGTGTTATAATGTGATGGTCAATCCTTTTATTCACTGGTAAAAAGGTAGCCCAAGAGTTGGTGGTGGGTAGTGTTGACTAGCTGCCTTCCCTCTAGTCTATCACTGCTAAATTAGGGATGGCTAGTGCAGATAGCCCTCATGTAGCTTTGCATAAAATTCAAAACAAAACAAACAAGATACGTACAAAATTTCCAATACAGTGAAACACAATGTTGCGTCATCGAGATCACGTGACTATTCTCACGCCCTCTAGTTT